GAAGGAAACAGGAAAGGAAAGAAGGAAAAAAAGGAAACTTTTAATTTTTTTATGTTTTTTTTTTTTTCATTTTCTTAAACTTCTTGCCTCCCACCCACGACAGCAAATCAGGGGACAAACTGTTCTCCCTGTGCTGATCTGGGGCCTCTCAGCTGAGGCCCAGGAGACCTCAGGTGGAGCTGCATGGAAAAAGAGAATTTCTGGGGTCTGGTGGGGAGGAACAGAACCCAAACCAAAGGCTGAACACTCTGTGAAGGTGTTTGCACCCTGGAGAACGTCACATCCCATGGAGAGCTGTGCTGGCTGCTTGCTTACTGCTGCACTGCACATCTGTCCTGCTCTCCATTAGCCCTTTGGCCTTTTGCTGTGCAGAATCACAGAACATTCAGGGGTTGGAAGGGACCTCTGGAAAGAAATTACTGCTCGTAGGGCTCTCCTGGAGCCAGAGAGCAAGGGGAGGAGAAGGAATTTTATCTGAAGAGGAAGCAAACAGAAATCCCCTTTGAAGTGAAAGCCTTGCTGCTCTGGGAGCTGGGTGCTCAGCGGGGCCCCTTCCCAGTGCCTGGGGCAGCCTGGAAGGAGTTTTTTTGACATTTTGATGAAACTTGCAGGGCTTTTATCCAGAAGCCTGCTGGGGCACCTTATGCTTCACCCAGGCTGTGAAAATACCAAAGTGGGGAAGCAATTCCATGTTTCCTGAGGGCATCCAGAGCTCTCCAGCTCCATCCTTGTGATGGAAGGATGCTTGAGAGCAACGTTCACTTAGCACTCACTCAGATGGGATTTCCATCTGCCTCCCCTCCAGTACCTTGTTCCTGCTGCTGAACTGGACTGGATGAGGGGACTGTTTGGCTTTAACCCCCAGCACAGGGCTCAGCCTCTGCCTGGCCCATAGCCCTGCCAGGCATCCCGGGCAGCTGAAGGGTGGGAAGGATGGGGCTCGCTTGGGGAGGGGGCAAAATGTGAGGGTTTTATCAGAGGAGGCTCAGGAATCTCCAGGATCCTGGTTCAGCTGCTTGTGAGGGTTCATCCTGACCTGTGCTAAGGAATCCAGGGAGCTCTAAGGACAGGATTGTTCTCAGGGGCTGCTCATGGAGCTGGCTACCAGTTAAATACCCCCTGGCTGCAGACCTGCTCGAGCTCCTCCAGCTTCACCACGTCCAGGATGTTGTAGGGCACATAACCAGCCTGCCCGCTCCTGTTCAGCAGCTTCCACCACTGCTTGTTATCTTCCAGCACCTGAGAGAGGGGGAAAAATAAACCTGCTCGTGAGAACATGGGATTTGGGGCAGAGAGTGGCAAGAACAACGTGAGGGTGTTGGAATAACACCACCGAGGCCAGGGGCTGGCAAGTGGATCCACTGCACTCGTGTGCAGCTCGGGGCTGAAGCCTTTCCTGAAGAGCATCAGCACCTTCCCCAGGGTGCAGAACTCACAGTTCCTACTTAATTTACCTGTTTCTCCATCATTTTTTTTCCCCAGTGACTAAGTTTGTGTTGTCTTTTTTGCATTAAAAAAAAAACAAACCGAGAGTGACTCCTGCTAAAGACCTGGAGTGTTGTCACAGAACTTGGATCCCGTGTCACACCATCAGGCATCACACAATCCCATCCTAACCACCACGTGGGCAGCAGGTGGCCTGTTGCTGAGAGGTCTCTATTGCTCCTGCTCCCTTCAGCAGGTTTCTTTTTGCCCAGAACCCTGATTTTGTCCATTTTTTTGTCACGTCCTACGTTCTCCAGCTGCCGGCAGCGTTATGGGAGGAGAAAGGTTATGAAAAAGGATGTTTTCATGGAAAATACCTCCTGAGGGGGCAGTGGGAGGGGTGCAGAGAGGCCCAGCAGGTGGGTGTACTGCAGTGACTTGTTTTCCTCCCTCCCCACTGCTAATGAAGACGTGACCAACGTGTTTCAGCTGAGCAGAGGAGCCCCTGCTACCGTCAGCCTGCTCCAGCTCCAGCCTGAGGCCTCGTGTTGCTGCTCGGGGAGCACCGAGGTGGCACTTAGCAGTATCTGGGCATCCCCCTGCTCCTGGGAAAGGGAAGAGCACCCAGCTTCCCCCCCAGCACCCTCACCCACCTCCAGGATCTCGTCCTTGAGCACGGAGAGCTCGTTGGCGTTGCGCGCGGTGAAGTCGTAGCGGATCTTGGCGTATCTCTTGGGCAGAGCCATCCCCTGGGCCTCCAGGTTCCTGCAGCAGAGCACAAGCCCTGGGGTTTTTAGGGAGACCCAGCTCCTAACCGTGGCAATGTGGAAGGGGAACGTTGAAGGCTGTGTGGCAGTGCAGGTGGAGAGCTGGCTGTGTGTGTTGTGAGGGGGCAGCGCCTCTTGCCTCTGTTTTGTGGAAGATTTTCACCCCTTATTTGGGTGAAACATCTGGTGTTGGGGGAAATAAACACAAACCAGTAGGGCTGTTTGGTTCATGGCCTCCTTTAGGACTGGGAGGGGGGGAGGATGGGCATCTTCCTCTGGCAGGGGCTGCTCTGCAAGGCTTGGGGGCTGACCAAGCCCCAGTGCTCTGATTGCACCTCCTGTTAAAAATGAGGGGGCAAGGCTCAGGTCCTGCTAAGTGGAAACAACTGCCCCAGGGCAGGGCAGGAGTGCTGGGAGGAAGGGCACTGAGGAGGAGTGTGGGCAGAACTGGCTGGAAACTAGTGGAGTTTTCATCAGGCAATGAATGCTGAGCGACTGCAAAGAGGATTCTGCAGATTTCCAGGAAAAGTAAGTTTGAGTGTTTCTCTTCTAAGGTGATTTTTGGGGAAAAGGGCTGCAGTTAAGTATTTCTGATTGAAGAATGATGGCTTTCCATGTTGAACTGACTTTTCACAAAAGAAATGTGGTAGATTGTGAAATATGGAACAAGTGCAATGAAAGATTTCCTTGGACCCAAAGTGAATGATTTGGTTTTTCATAGTGGTTTAATTTTTTTCCTCACTTAGCAAAATTTTGGAGATCTTGCCTGTTTCTTCTCTGGCTAGGGGGGGTGTAGTGTTATTTTTGAACTCCAAAAATGTTTGTAGTATGGAAAAACTCTCTTGCCTTGTTGTGTAAGGGCTGGTAGGAGCTACTTTAATGCACCTTCTGTGGATCTTCCTGCTCGTGGCTGTCACCCCTGCAGCTCCCTGGCGTGGGAGGCTCTGGGGGGCTGCAGCCCAGGATGGGCTCAGGGGCCCCTCCAGTCTCTCTCAGGTCCTGTGTAACTCTCTGCTTTACAGCAACCACAGTTTTCAGCCTGATGTTTTTCTGTTGCCACGTTTTTGGGTGGGGTCAGTGATTTAAATGTGTGACCTGGGGAAACCTGGCTCTTTGGGGGCTGTTTCTGAGGCACCTCCAAACCTGAGTTTGAAAAGCAAGCCTGTTGTGCCTGCTTCCAGCTCATCTTGCTGTCTTCACTGCACAACTGGTGGTGGTCTGGAAAATGTGGAACCCCCTGGTTCAGTGATTTGGCACCTTACCCATGGCTGGAGCCCTGTCTTTAGTTCAGCTGACCTGGGACAACTCTTGGTCTAGTTCCAGCAGAGTTTGGAGCAGATGCTCAGACTGAATCCACCAGTCAAGGGAGGGAGTGGTGCCCTGAAGGCAGGGAGGAGGAGGAGGAGGAGGGGAGCCCCAGCTGGGGTAGAAATTACTTCTTTTGTAGCATTCCAGCAGGTAAATGAGTGATGAGGAAGGAGGTGGAGGCTGGAGGGGTTGGAGGCCAACACGTGCTTTGCATGCACCCAGGCTTTACACCAGTGACCTTTGCCAAGTCCTGTGAAGCTGCCTGGGGCTCTCCTGCTGCTTTGCAGCCAGAAGCCCTGGTGTGAATAATACTGCTGCACAGGTATTTTATGCTAATAGAAGGTTTTTTGGTTAAAAAAGTGGCTCAAACTCCTCTGAAAAAGGCACGCTGGTGATTGGTGTTCCAGGGTGTGCCAACACTGTTCATAGTTTGTCTGTGCTGAGACTAACAGATGGAAATGTTTCCTTATGTCTGTTGTCTACCAGTCCCTAAAGACAGGCTTCAATCTTCTCATGTCAACTGAGTTCTCCTAATTTTTCATAACCTCACTGAGAAAAATGGAACTGGAGAAGAGGATTTGTCATAATCCCTTCCCTACTCAACACTGCTCTGTCCCATTTTATGGTCTCACCAGGACCTTTGGAGGGGTGAATGGAAAGAATGAGTTATTTTGCTGATATAATTGGATTTAAGGTATTCTCCTGTGAATTTGAACTTTTTTTTTTGTAGTAGTAAAGCCTTTAAATCTTTTAGATCAGAACATAAAACTGGCTTGAAGATTTCTTTTTACCAGTCTTGAGCTGGCTACAGAAAAGGGCATGGTTAAGTCCTGTGCTGGGTCAGAACTTCCAGTCTTTAAAGATCTGAAGCTGATAACTTCATGCCAAATCACTGCAAAGCAAAATAGGGCAGAAAATGCATTTGCAGCTCAGGAAGAGTTTGAAACAGGTCTTGCAGGGGGGAAATTTCAGAGGTGTATAAAAGTGAGACTCTAAACTTTGAACTAAAGGTACAGATTTTATCCCACTGAGGAACTGGAGATGGAAAACTAGCAGCAGGGCTGAATGTTTGGGTAAGTTGTGGAAGAACCATCCTTCCCATGGGGAAAAAGTCTGAGGCCAAGGGTGGCCTGGCTGGCTCTCACTCAGGGACTGAACTTCCCAAGACTTTTGAAGAGAGAGGAGATTTCCTCTTAGTTTTCTGCATTTAGCTTATGAAGAAGAGTTGCCTGAACTCTGTGAGCTGTTGTGGCTTTAGGGTGAACAGCTTCTCCAGACACAGAGAGAGCAAAGGTGTGGGGTGGTATCTGTGGCACCTGATCCTCCACAGGGCTGTGGTGGGCTGAGGTTATGAAACAAGAGCCACTGGTTGCTGAAGTCTGTCAGTGTTTTTGTCTCTTGTGGTAGGAGACACCTGTAACCCATTTCCTTCTAAACCTGCTGGTGGTTAGAAAGCAGATGGTGTTTCCCTGAATGATCCCTTGTCTGGGTTCTCTTAATCTTGTTAACAAGTCTGAATGATGGCAGGGAGTTATCTCAGCTGGCTGGAGGTGAGCCCAGGTGGCCAAGGAGGCCACCAGCATCCTGGCTTGGATCAGCACTAGTGTGGCCAGCAGGAGCAGGGCAGGATTGTCCCCCTGGGCTGGGCACTGGGGAGGCTGCCCCTCAAATCCTGGGGTCAGTTTTGGGCCCCGCACACCAGGAAGGACCTTGAGGGGCTGGAGCGTGGCCAGAGAAGGGCAATGGAGCTGCTGGGGAAGGGTCTAGAGCCCAAGTGTGGGGAGGAGCAGCTGAGGGAGCTGGGGGTGCTGAGCCTGGAGCAAAGGAGGCTCAGGGGAGACCTTCTGGCTCTGCACAGCTCCTGACAGGAGCCTGGAGCTGGGGTCTGAGGTGCTGTGCTGGGGGGTGGTGCCCGTGCCTTACCTGTTCACGTGCTGGGTCACGTTCTGTTTGAAGGCATCCACAGCTTGTGTCTGGTCAGCAGCCTGGCCACGCTTGAGCGAGGAGTTCCTGTAGGGATATCCGTTGGCTGAGGAGAGCTGTGGGGCAAAAATGGAGCCAGAGTTACCAGGAAAGGGGAAGCCTCTGTCAGAATTAAGGAGAGTGACAGCGGTAAATGAATTGTGGCCTGGAAGCTTTAGGTCATGATGATGAGAGAATGATGATGAAATGTTCTTCAGGCAAACCCCCTGGGGCTGGGTCACCTTCTAGTGTCCTATGGCCTGTTGTCCAGGGGGTGAGGCTCATTTTTGCTCCCTTTCTGGCCTTATTTTCTTTCCTTGTTTAACTGGAGTGACCAGATCCAACTGAGCATTGAGCTGCCTGCTTGCTACAGGCTCTGAAGAAGGGGGGCGGAGGGGAGGGGACAGGAGGGGGTGGCACTGACCTCTTCCTGCAGGTGCCCGATGTCTATCTCCCAGGGAGCCCCACGGAAGATCTCCAGGGGTGGCTCCCAGCCGTTGCGGAATTTGGGGATGTAGGTGGGGAGGTTTGCTTCTCGGGGCCATTCAGCTCTGGGACACAAAGCAGGGAGCACGTGTGAGACTCCCAAGGAACATGTCTCAGGGGGCACAGGGGCGTGGGGGCACCCTCGGCCCTCCAACGTGGCCACATGTGGCACCCCCTCTGCCCTTCTCGGGGGAGCCCGGGGAGGTGGCAGCGCTGGCCTCACCTGGATCTGGTCCAGGTCTCTCCCAGGGACTCCCAGAGGTTGATCTCCTTTGGTGTCAGGTGTCCTCGGAGGAAATCCGTGGCGTCTTTGGAGAGCAGGGGGCTGACCACAGACCTGGCCAGCTCGGGGCCCCCACAGCTATTGACAATCTGGGTCACACACAGACATGAGAGATTCAGCAGGCAATGCTCCAAATACCCAACCAGCACATGCCCAAAAGAACAGAAATCAGAGATCTGTGGCTCTGATCCTTTGGAGTCTCCATGCCTCCAGTCCTGAGGATGCCCCTGTACCCTCCATGGTGAGCACCTCTGAAACCAGGCTAATTCCCCTTGGGCTTGCCCTAACAAGGGTCTCCTCTGTGCCTGCCTGTGGGAGGGTGAGGGTTCACAGCACAGAGAAACTCCATTAATGCTCTGCTGTCACCTAAAAGGGATGTTGTATTCCCCCAGGTTGTGTGTGCTGCACTGATAGTACCTGACTGGCAGATTTTATTGAGAAAAGGCAAAAAGACAAAAAAGGCAAATAATTCCTGACTAAATTCTCCAAGGTATCCAGTGAAAGCTGGAGGGCATGGCCTGGCAGTGCCATCCCTGGTGCCAGTAAGCCTTTATTTAGGGGGTGGAAAGATTCCTGTTTGCTAGGGCTGGATATTTACTTCCAGCAGGAAATCAGATCAGAGGCCAGAAATGTTGGTGTTGCTTCCAAGCTTTACTGAGAAAGCTTTAGCCTGTTGTGAGCACCTTCTAACCCTCGTGCATAATCCAGCTGCCTGTAAGTACACAGGCAGCATTAGGAATGAGTTCCCAGTGAAACCTGTGAATGGGATTTACCAGCTCCAGTGGCCCAAAGAGGAAATGCACCAGCTCGGAGGCGCTGGGGTTCTGGATGTGCTTTCTCAGTTTGGCCTGGAAAGAGAAAGGAAACCCAGTTTAACCCAAACCTGCTGCTGCCTTCTCCGTGCTGTCCCCTGGGGGGGTTGTTGCTGGCTGGTACTTGATGCTGTTAATAACAGAGCCTGGAAAGTGAGGGACCTCCCAACACTGCACCTGGAACTGGGGGAGAGGGGTAAGTGTCTGGGGAGTGGGAATTACCCTTTTAGACAGTTTCCATTTTGCATCAGTTTCTAAGGGGGTTGAATTTCAGGAGGGGTGGAGAACCTGCTCTGTTAAAATCAGTCTCTTTGAAGCTGTTTTGACCAGAAGCAGAAGTCCTTGGCTTATTTGGAAAGTCAGTGAGGAGGGGCCAGGCTTACAGCTGCTGAAGTTGAAAATCCCACTAGCTCCTACAGAGCAAGAGTTTTGGGGGGGTCCCTTGGCAAATTGCTGCCAAGGGAGAATCTCCACCACGGTCTTGCCTGCAGTGCCCAGAGCTGCCCTGGCTGCTGGAGTCCTTGGAGCAGCCTGGGGTGGGATGGAGGAGCAGAGGCTCAGGGTTGCTGTACTGTAAGAATTGTCTCGTTGGCAGCAGCCTGCTGAGCTGTGGTGAGAAACCACTTCAGTCAGTGCTTCATCTCTCCCTTGTGTCCATGCTACTGAAAAAACAGCCTCTCTCCTCTGTACTGAAGTGCCAAGCATTTTAAATGCTGCTGATTAAACATTAGTGTGGAGTGGAAGGTGTGAAATGACCGATGGCAGCGTGGTGGCTGAATGAAGTGGCTCTTCACAAGGGCTTGGCAGCCACGTGCCACGGGCCAGTGCTGCGGGGGCAGAGGTGGCACTGCTCCTCCAGCCTCTCCCCAGGGCATCAGCTGCTCTTTGTGGGTTTGTGGGCAGCAAAGTCGAGAGCTTGGGCACGTGAATGAATTTGGGAGGAGCACGTTTCACTTTGGATTTAGCTTTAAAGGCTTCCTGCTGTGCTGGATGGGAGAAGCCCCATCGCTGCGGGGCAAGGATAACTTACCAGGAGGTTAAAAGCCAGTTTGGTTTTCTGGAAGCAGTCAATAAACTCGGCCTCACTTGGGGGTCTTGCTCGGAGAGTCAGCATGCCCTCTGTCAGGAGAAGTGGAGAGAGAGACATGTCAGTGAGAGGGTCCCTGTGCAGGGAAGTTGCATCTTGCTGGAGCATAGAAAGTGCAGCAGTAATGGGTACTGGGACTAGAACTGCTAAAACTCAAGGGTTCAGGAAAAGCCAACAGGCTTTCTCTGCATTGGAGGCCTCACTAGGCTCTGTGTGCTCTACAAGAGGTCCCCACAGATGAGTGGCACCTTCTGCCCTGGTGCAGCTACTGTGTCAGTCTGGTCTTCCTGGGGTGGGAGCTGAGGTCTCTCCCCAGCCTTCATCCCTGCCCCTCTGCTCCCCGTTCGTACCTGCTGGCCCTTTCTTCTTGTTCTTCTTCCCCTTCTTCCTTTGGTTGAGCTGTCTGAAAGCCTCTGCAGCCTTCTGAAGCGTGGCCACAAACACTTCAATGTCATCCAGCGTGCAGTTCAGGATTTGCTGTGAGAAATGCAACAAAGAAGGTGAGAGGGAGCCCGAGCTGCAGGGGGCTGGGGATCCCTGAATCCCAGAGCTGTCCCTGGGCTGCTCCATCCCCTGGAGGAATGCACAGGAACGGGGAATCCAGGCATGAAATGCAGCTGAATTCACCACTTTGCAGACACAAAGCTGTGCCTGGTTGTGTGCTGTACTCAGCAGCCTGAGCAGTGACCCCTGCTAAGGAGCCTCTGGGGAGTGACCCCGGGGGTAGAGCCGAGCTGAGGAGAGCGACGGACCCAGGGCTGGAATCTGTGAGCTCAGTAGGTGCCAGTTTCACAGCGACTGGGTTATGCACGGGATGCCTGCCCAGGGAGGAGCCCCCTGCCTTCCTCCTGCTCTTCTCCCTCTCCTTGCCTCCTGACTGTTCTCACTACCCACCGTCTCCTTCTCGATCTTCTGTGCCAGGAGGGCTCGGGACTCCTCGTGGTCCTGGGAGCTGGAGCTCCGGCGCTCGTAGTCTGCCAACAGGGGAGGGAGAGGAAAATGCATTTACAGTCAGGGGTGGAGAAGAGCTCCATGAAGTGCCTGGGAGTTCCCACCCCAGCTCAGCCGTGGGTTATGGGAGCACCTCAGGAGGTCCCAAAGAGCGGGCGGTGATCAAAGTTGGGATGAAATCTTCCACGGTCACAGCACCCGCTGCCTGCCTCTGGTGCCTGCCTCTGGTGCCTGCCTCCAGGTATAAGCAGGGACAGAATCTGAGGAGCTGGCAGCTACAGGCAGAGACCTGCCAGCCCCATGCTCTGGCTGCTCCACTCGCCAGCTCTTTGCCTGGGGTACATCTGAGGTGACCTAGATGGGGGCTGAGGAGCCACCGCCCGCTCCACGTGGTTGTCAAGTGTGATGAGAGTGATGCCCACCCTCTCCTCCAGCCCCAGCTCTCTGCAGGGGTCCCAGCTGGACCAGTTTAACTGAAGAGCAGTGAGAAAGCAGCAGCAAGACCAGGGAGGGAACCCCAGTGTCCCTGCCTGGCAAGCAGTGTGCCAGGAATCCGGCGTGCCCGCTGCTCGGGCAGGCCTGCCACTGATCAGGGGCTCCTGTGCCATCCCTCAAGTGCTCCTAGTAGGTATTAAAAACAATCTGCCTGCAGTAGAAACCCCCCAGGCACCTCCCAGCTTCCAGAAGGCAGGAGCTCAGGGAGGGGTGATCAAAAAAAGCAGGAACAATTGCTCGGGTGGCCTCTTGTGCAAAGAGGAACGTGTTGGCACAGTGGGATGGGGTTGAAAGGGGCAGCACTGTGGGAGAACTGGGGAGGCAGTTTTGGCAAAGGACCATGAAAAATGTACGTCCTCTTTTGGTGTTAAGGCCAGGTGATTAATTTTGACAGGTCTTGTAGGAAAAGCAGCAAGGCGTGTTTCAAAGGAGAGGTGATTTGGCCAAGGGGCATCATTCATGCCATGTCTCCTGTCACCTGCTTTCCTGCCAGGCCCTGTGATCTCAGATCCAGAAATCCTACCTGGGTAAACGCCCAGCACTGCTGGTTTGAGGAATGGGCTTAAATCTTTCTGCTGAGCATCCAGAGGGGCAGAGTTAAGGGTGTCTGTTCAGTAACAACTGCTGCACATCAGCCCAGAGCTGGGTACACGTGGTCCTGCTCTGAAATACCCATCTCCTTTTCATGATTCAGAGCTGGGCCTGAAACAGGCTGCCAGAGCAGCTGCCTGCCTCCAGATCCCATCCCAGGGAGAGAGGGGTTCCTCTCCTCAGCTGCTAGTTGGAATTTCCTCTGGTGTCCTGCTTACACGTTTTCCTTGAACCTAAAATTTAATCCTAAGAGAAGGTGGCACAACAGGCAGTGATAAAAAAGGCTTAAATTTGTCATTTAGTCAATTTGAACTTTTGTCAGAGAGCTTATTTCTGTTACCATTTAAACAGAAATAAAGTTTTTTTCAAGCCAGCTCACATGAAGTGAAGTCAGGATGGTTTTGGAATAAGATTTTAGATTAGCACTTGAAAGAGGTGAGCTCAGACCTGCACTTCTACACACAACTCCAGGAGAATTTATGCAAAGCACTTCATTTCTGAGGGTGAAACCTTGGTTTCTGTGAAGTCAGCAGAGCCAGGAATTTGCCTTTCTGACCATGCCTGTCTCATCTGTACCTTTGAGATGGCTGCTGCCTGGTCCAGGCTTCACATGATTGCTCAGTTTTGAGGGGCTTTCAGGCAGGAATTTGCCTTTCTGACCAGGCCTGTCTCATCTGTACCTTTGAGATCGCTGCTGCCTGGTCCAGGCTTCACGTGATTGCTCAGTTTTGAGGGGCTTTCACTTTTGGGATGCCCAAAATACAGGTGTCCTTACAAGGAGTTTCTAGGAGCTTTGATGTAAAGAGCTGCCACTGAGAAGATGCCTACTGCTGGCCCAGAGGGTACAAATGTTTGCTGCAGCCCAATTTGTAGGTGTTTGTGCCTTTGCTATGTGTCTGTGTTACTTCATAACTGGGTGAAAAGACTGGTGGGTGCCCCCCCGGGTGCTGCCATACCTGGGTTGTGCTGGGAGGGGGGTGCCACCCTGTTCCTGGTGGCCCCCGAGCCACGGGTGTCCTGCTGGATGGGGATGGGGGCCGGCCCCTGCGGCGCTGGGAGGATGGACTGTCTCTGCTTGATCTTCTCCTGGTTTGCTCTGCGAGGGGAACAGCTCAGAACAACCACGCCCGTGGCTGCTGGTCCCGGTTCTGAGAGACCAGGGTGTGAACACACCGTGGGGAATGGGGTGGTTTGGGGGTTTTAAACTAAACCCTGCAGTGCTTACTTGAGTGTTTGTGGCCGTATCTTCTTCCCGTGCTTGTGATCTGCCAGGGCACTTTCTATGTCCTCATGAACCATCTCCGCCTCAAAGATAAACCAGGGATGTCCTTAAGGGCTGTGCTTTGGGGGAGATGGGGGGCTCGAGGGGTGCCAGGGCAGGAGGGGCAGCCAGGGAGGCAGGGGGTGCTTGGGTCAGGGCTCTGCTCACCTCCACCTCGTCGCAGTTGAAGAAGTGGATGTCAGGCTTGTGCTGCTCCGAGTCCTGGCACACCAGCAGCAGGATGGAGGAGTAGCGCAGCTGGTTCAGCACCGTCTGGCAGTGCTGGACCGTGGGCAGGGGAAAGTCCTCCAGCTCCTCCTGGCAGAGAGAGGGGGTGCTTGGGTCAGGGCTCTGCTCACCTCCACCTCGTCGCAGTTGAAGAAGTGGATGTCAGGCTTGTGCTGCTCCGAGTCCTGGCACACCAGCAGCAGGATGGAGGAGTAGCGCAGCTGGTTCAGCACCGTCTGGCAGTGCTGGACCGTGGGCAGGGGAAAGTCCTCCAGCTCCTCCTGGCAGAGAGAGAGAGAGGGGTCAGGCACTGGGGGATGGGGAGTGGGTCTGGGTGTGACCTCCTGGGCTCCCTGTTTGAGGAGAGGATGTTTACTGGGCTCTTCGAGGCTCACAGGCTTGGGACTGTGGAGTAGGAGAGAGGTGGGTGACAAAGGGGAGCTCTGGTTCTCCTCTGAGCCCTGAGCATGAGGCCCAGCATGAGACATCAGTAACATGAGTTTTGTTGCTCACCATCTTACTGCTGGGCTCTACCTGCACCAGGACACTCATCGTGCACCCCAGCAGAGCACTGGGAGGAAAGATGCTTCCTGTGAGGGCTTAGCCTCCCACTGTCTCCTTGGCTGCCCTTGAGCTAATATTGTTTAGTTTTTCATTGGTAAAATTGGGGCAGCACCCTCCTTTTCTCACTGCTTGGCTGCTCTTGCCCCTGCAACGAGGCACCTCATGTGTACTGCCTGCCAAAACAGGGCACTGTTTGCAGGCAGGTAATCCTCTGGGGTATTTTAATGCAAGTAATACATCCTGTCCTCTCTGCTTATGCCTCATGCAGAGCTCTGTGGGCCTGCAAGTCTGCATCACTCCCACAGAAAAGCTGAGCTGGAGCCCAGCTCAAGGTATCTGTCACCTGGAGTACCTGTGGGTAAATCATCCCAACTGATTTAAAGTCAGCCAGCCCCCACACAGCCCAGAGTGCATTTGGGAGGTGATTCGCCCTCGTTTGGGTTCCTTAGACACGGCCCCTGCTGGGTGGAATGGGGAGGGCCCGTGGGGGGCCCTGGCAGAGCTCTGGGTACCTGTGACTCGCAGTCCAGCAGGCGGATGGACTTGTCGTTCACTTGCAGCAGCATCTCCTGCGTCCAGATCTTCTCTTTGGAGTTGAGCAGGATGAGTTTTCGGATGGCGTCGTCCACCGTCACGATGGACTCGCTCTTGTCCATGATGAAGGTGGCCAAGTGCTGGAGTTGGGAGGGGAAAGGAGGGGAGAGCAGATCAAGAAGCTTTGATGGTTGGAACTGGGGGATCCTTGTGGTCCCTTCCAGCCCTGACAGATTCTGATCTGTTTTAGCAGAGGACTTTAGAGCCCTGATGGCTCAATGGTTGGACTTGATGATCTTGAAGGTCCCTTCCAACCTAAAGGCTTCTATGATTCTGTGGTGTGTGCACAGTAAATCGGTGGTGGACCCATCTCTGAAGGTTTGAGCTGTGGTTTGCCTGCTCTGTAGGGTCTCTGCAGAGTGGAGGTTGTGGCTGTACCAGCCTGGCTGCGTGGGGGAGGATGAGGGTGGGGGTTCCAGAACGAGCTTCCCCACTTGCACGTTTATCTCTCCATACATCAGCTCCAGCAGCTCTGGTCCCCATCTGGGGGTGCAGATGCTTTGTGCACACCCCTGGCTCCCCTGAAGCTGGCTTGGAAGTCTAAACACAGCAGTTTAGCTTGGCAAGTGAGGCTTAAAGCATTTGTGTTTTGCTCTCCTCGTGTAGCTGCTCTCCCTGCATGGAATCTGTCCCTGGCAAAGGGCTCATGGAAGCCATGGGCTGATGTTAGTCCTCTGTGTCGAGGTGGGATCCCTGGTTTCCCTCCCTCTCCTCTCCTGTAAACCCAGCCTGGTGCTCTGCCTGCTTCCCAGCGTTTCCATGGAGGCTTTGGGCTGCTCCTGGGGCTGTGGGCAGGGCAGGAGTGTGCCGTGTCCAGGGGGTGTGTGTGCCACCCCCAGCAGTGGGTGAAGGGCAGAAACCAGGGTGACTTCTTTCTCTTTGCTGCTGGGCAGCAGTGGGAGCAAGCTGCTGGCTGTGGATGGGGAGGAGGTGCTGCCAGCAGAGGGGACTGCAGGGCAGGAGATGCTGGGAGCTGCCCAGAGCAGCCAGGCTGGTTTCTGTGCCGGGGACAGCACGCCCAGGACACGTGCTCAGGTGACAACAGGGGAAGGGAAGGAATTCAGGAAGGAAAAGGGAACGGTCCCGTTTCACCCTGTTCCCTCTGCTGCCCAGCTGGGTCTGTGGGGAGGAGAAGGGCAGGAGAATGTGCTGCACTGGGAAAGCTGTGGGAGCTTTTCTCTGTCATAACCAACTTTCTCCAGGAGGGAATCAGACTGGTTTGGGTGGGAAGGGGCCTCTGAAGGTCATCTCGTCCAACCCCCTGCAGGAGCAGGGACATCCCCAGCTAGAGCAGGGTGCCAGGAGCTCACCACCCTCAGCACCAAACATTTCTCCCTTCCCTCTTGTCTAAATCTCCCTCTTTGAGTTTCAAACCATCCCCTCTTGTCCTGTCCCAACAGGCCCTGGTCTAAAGTCTGTCCCCAGCTCTCTGAGAGGCCCCTGGAAGGCTGCAGGAAGAGGTTTTTGGAAGGACAGGTTAGAGGTGTGACCAGGGTGTCTGCTCCAGGGGCTGCTGCTGGGAGGCTGCTCTGGCCAGGCCCAGCTCTTTGGGACCTCTCAGAGCCTGGAGCCTTGGGCAGTGGTGTTGGAGCAAGACCTGCAGCTCCAGAGGAGGTGGGTGCAGGGGGAGAGGCTCAGGTTTAGAGCCCTGGGAGCCCTGACAGGCAGGAGGAAGGGCTGAGTCCTTAAACATGATGGTCACTGGTGGGAATTAGGGGTGGGGACGATTCCTGGCGACCAATTTGTCGTTCAGGTGGTTGTTGGATAATTCACAAAGGTTGGGAAGAGCAAGGAGGAAGAGGAGAAATGCTGCAGGGTGCATTCAGTGGTCCCAAAGCCAGGGCACTGGGATTGGCACTGGGTGAGGGAAGCTCCTGGCAGGGGGTTGAGCTGAGAGCTGAGGAAAACCTGCTCAGGGGTGTGCTGCTGAGGCTGGAAAAGAGTGCAGGGAAGGTGTTCAGAGAGTCAACACTCAGTGCAGGGGTGACAAACCCTCTGCTTCCTGAGCCCAGGGGGAACTGGTTCATACCTGGTGATGGCTGTTCTTATCTGCTCCATTATTTTAACTGCCAGCTTTACAGTCTTCATAAATTCCTTTGTTGTTTCCTGTTACGTTAGTTAATTTTGATGGATGGGAAAGTTATTTGTCTAACTCAGACTCATCAGAATATTTCTTTTCTGTTTACTTTAGATACTGGAGGAGGGAGAGAAAGTTGTTGCTGTCTGTGATTGTCTCACTCAGACCCCTTCTCAGCCTGGTGGCCATTGGTAGCTTTTGTAAGAATGGGCAACGACTCCATCCACTATTAAACTTTGATCAGGTTCTTCCAAAGGCTGCAAAACGCCTCTTGTGAGGAAACCTCTTCCTCCCTCACTGCCTGCTACTGAATTCCTGTTTGCCTTGGTCAAAGTTCAAGGCAGAGACTCACAAATGGGTGACATGTGGCATAATTAATGAGGCAGTCATGTGCGTGTCACTGTTTAAAGTCCCTTCTCTGCTCCCATGAGTGACTTTATTTGGTAGGAGTCTCTGCTGGGGCTGGGTGGTGGGTCACTGACAGGGCAGGTCATTCAGCTAGTTCCTCTGGTGGAACTGGGGCTGCTTTCCAAACCAGCACTTTTAAAAGTCTAAATCTCATTTGAAGCAATGGAACAGGCTCCTTTATTTCCATGTATTTCAGCTCTCTGCTGGACTGGAGACTTACACCAGAGCAGAGAGGGTCCTGGCTGCTCAACAGGGACCTCAGAGCTTTCCTTTCTCGCCTGGTTTTTGGTGCTGAATGGCCCCAGCCAGGATGAATTGATGCTGAATGGTCCCTCTGCTCCCGTGGGGGCCAGCACCAGCACGCTGCACTACAGGAATCCCTGGCCCCAGGCTGGCTCCTCTCCTGTGAGTGGATCTCTGTGACACTGGGAGATGAATTTGGCTTAATGCCTGTCCTGGCTGAAGGGTTTTGAATTACTTGAGAGGCCACAGTAGCTGAGGGAGACTGAAAGGTGATAGTGATGTGGTGTCTGTTGTTTGGGCAGATGGATCCCTGTGAGCACCACAGGAACTCTGCTTTTAACCTGCCTGTGCTGATCCAGAAAGGGTCTGAGGCACAGGGGGACAAGAGGGACAACAGCTCCCACTGCTCCCCTTCAAACACAGGGGCAGGAGGGGGGACAGCAGCTGCTCCAGTTCTGGTTTCCTGGTGCAGCATTCCCCTGGGTTTTTAACATGTCTTTTTTTTGGGGGGAGGATCTGTGAGCTCTACCAGAGCCTGTTTGCTTGGACTTTGAAATGATGCTGTCCCATAACAGAACAACTGCTGCTCTCCAGGGTGAGGAGCTGGAGAGGAGCAGCAGAGAACCAGCAGGAGAGCTGGTATTGGTTTTAGATGGAGCAGGCAGCACCTGAGAGGAGAGGAGAGACAGGAGAGGGACCCAGTCCAGCCTGGAACCTCTGACTTTTAGGAAGCAGTGGGGTCAGTCCTGGGAATTGTCTCAGGCTTGTGCTGCTCTCAGGAGCCCAGGAGCCAGGCTGGCAGGAGCACCATGACCTGCTGCTCAGGGGGAAACTGCAGGTGGCTGAGCCTGAGGCTGTCCTGCAGGCCAGGAGCTGGAAATAGGGAGTGCAGCCAGCTGAGTGGGAAGCTCACGAGACAAAATTATCTGTGTGCATTGGGGAGCTGTGGGGAGTGGGTCCAGAGGAGGCCATGGAGGTGAGCAGTGGGCTGGAACCCCTCTGCTGGGCAGCCAGGCTGAGAGAGTTGGGCTTGTGCAGCCTGCAGCAGAGAAGGCTCCAGGGAGACCTTCTGCAGCCTTCTAGTATCTGAGAGGGGCCTACAAGAAACCTGGGGAGGGACTTTATACAAGGGCTTGTGGTGATAGGATGAGGGGTGATGGGATCAAACTGGAAGAGGGGCGATTTAGATTAGAAATTAGGAAGCCCTTCATTCTGAGGGTGGGGAGACCCTGGCCCAGGCTTTCCAGGGAAGCTGTGGGTGCTCCACCACTGGAGGTGTTCAAGGCCAGGCTGGATGGGGCTTTGAGGGATCTGCTTTAGTGGGAGGAGTCCCTGCCCATGGCAGTGGGGTGGGACAAGACGATCTTTCAAGTCCCTTCCAACCCAACCCAGCCTGTGATTCTACGACAAAAAGAAATCTAAGGTTCCAAGCAGCTCTGCCTCTCCCAGGGTGTGCAGGGTGACAGCTGAGTACTGGAAGAAGGTTCCCTTCTCCTCTTTGGCCAAATGAAGGTCCAGGACAAAGGAAACCTGCTGCATCACCAGCATCCACCACTGCCCTTGGCCTCTCAGCCCCCTCAGTCCCGTTGCACACTCACCTGCACGTGGTACTGGGAAGTCTCGTGCATGATGATGTTGGAGTTGGAGTATTTCTTCCTTTGTTCTGCAAAAGAAAGGAGGAGAAAAGCTGTCACTGTAGTGGGTGTTTACCAACCAGGGGCTGAGAATTGCAGCTCTGGTGGTGGGGTGCCACAGACTTTCTCACAGTCTGAGCTTCCAGCTCTGGTCAGAGCACTGGGAATAAGAGGACTTGTTAATGACAAACTGTGTCCCTTAGTGCCACTGCTGATTGGAGTCCTCCAGGTCAGCACCATTCCTGGAGGAGATGAAATGCAGTGTGAAGGAAAGCATCAGACAAGGGATGGTTTGGGAGCTCTGGGAGGAGAGGAGTGGCTCGAGGAGGCTGCCACGAGGTGCCTGTGGTGAGAAAAAAAAAAATCCCAGCCACAACCCACCAGTCTGGACACAGGAGCCCTTTGGACTGTCCTCCAGAGGAAACCCTTGGTGCTACCAGGACACTTTTGGTTCCCTCTCTTGTGTTTGCTGGCAAGCTGTGGTTCAGGGCTGTTGTTAGAGGGAGGAAGGGCTGCAGGGACCCAGCCAGAACCTGCCTGTCTTGTACCATGGTTTTATGAGGCAACAAATCCTCATCGCTTCCTGCATCTCTTACTGGAAAGTGGCAGGAAGGGGAAACTGGGGGAAAAATTGTTTGATTTCATGAGGCTATTGAATATAAACCTATAAGAATTTACCCTGCCAGCTCTTACTTGCTCTTTAATTGGTGTTTATCCAGGGAGTCATGGAATCATTGAATCATTTTGGTTGGAAAAGACCTTTAAGGTTATAGAATACAACCATTAACCAAACACTGCCAAGCCCCCCACTGCCCCGTGTCCCTCAGGTCTCCCCTGAGCCTCCTTTGCTCCAGGCTCAGCACTCCCAGTTGTTTCCTTATATTCCTTGTAATTCTTATAAATACTTTGCTTGAACAGCAGAGGAAATAGCAGAGGAGTAATTATCCAAGCTCAGAGGGATCTGGGCGTGTTGAAACTGAGCCCATCATCCCCCAGCAGATGCCATCCTCTGATCTCTGCTTCGTGGCAGTTTTAGGTTTTCATCCTTCCTGAAGCCCACATCAGAATGCCCCACGTTAGAATTTCCCTTCCTCTGTAGGAACCATCACAGCTGAGGAGATGTCACAGCACAGCAGCCACTGGGGCCTGGGGGTTTCACAGGAGCATCTCTCCCTCTTGGTTTGGTTGTGGTTGACTTCAAAGCTCTCTTTAATGCCTTCTCAGGGGTGTTGGCTCCTCTCTTCCTTCCCCCTTTGGGCAGGCTACATGTGGTCCTTTAACAGATTTCACATTAATGAGGCTGGCATCTTGAAGATGAATATCCTCATAGGAACTTGGCTTCCAAATTTCTATTTAAAAGAAAATCTTTTGTTGAAGTGGCACAAAACTGAGGTAAAACTTTTTGGAAAGTTCCCTTAGTTTGTATTTCAGGAGCATGTCACATTTTAACTGACAAACAGTCCCCAGAGACTTCCAGGAAACACAAGTTGTACTTTTGATTGCTAGAATCTGAAGCTTCTCTTGTTATCCAAGGACTGTGACTTTGGGTTTTAAATAAAAAAGCTGGAAAAGTGCTGAGAAGCCAATTTCCAAGTGCAGAGAGTGAGCTGAGGGGAATGGAAAGCAGAGCAAGGACAGGGCAGTGGCTGGGAGGGGCTGGAGGTGGGAAGGGAGCAGGGTTTGGTGCAGTAGTGACCATCCTGTGGGCATCCTCTGCCCATGTGGGTGGGCTACAGGCAGCCAGGGCTCTGGTCACCCCTTTGGGGGGTAATTTGAGGGAGCAGCCCAAGGAAGGTGCTGGAGATGTAGCTCCTCCCTAGGGCCACCATGCTTTGTTTGACTCCTGCAGTTTCAGAGGCCAGCAAAAGGAAATGGTTTGCATCCTTTTAGCCTGTTGGGCAGGACAGGTCCCTGCCTACGCCCAGAGCTCTTCCCTGGTTTGCCTCTGTGCAAATCCTTCCCCTCTGGGGTAGGTGGGCCCAGCTTGGGGGGCTGGAGGAGCTCAAGCAGCAGTTCTGGCTCTGCCACTGCTGGTGTCTTGCCTTTCTTGTTTCCCAGCTGTTCCTGGGGTAAAAGGAAAGGGGCTGTTTCCTCTCTGCTGGTGCTGCTGCTGACGTGACTGTCCCAGTGGTGGGGGTACTCGGTGCCCAGCCTGGCCAGACACAGGCTCCTTGGCACTGCCTTCCTGCTCCTCGTGTCTCTTCCTTTAAGCCTGGTGTGCAGGAGAGGCCAGCAGGGAGAAAATGCAGCAAACGGAGCATCCTGCCGTGGTGAGAGCAGAAAACAAACCCTAAAGCTCTGCTCTGGAGCTTTAGCTTAGTCCTGAGGGTGTCCTTGTGTTGGCTTCTCACCTGGATAGCTGCTGTTTCAACCTCCAGCCAGCAGATCCTGTGCAAAGGCAGCAGAAGCTGGCCTGGATCTGCTGCTCTCCCAGAGAGCTGTCAGGAGAGAAAAGATCCTACAGGCACAGGGCTCCTGCAAACCTCCTCCCTGGTGAGTGTGTGTGTGCAGCATCCAGCCTCGTGCCTGGAGCAGGGGAGGATTCCCAGGCACCCCTCTAGCCCCTGGAATGCTCCTGTGGCAGGTTACTTTGATTCAGCTCACACCCGGGGGGAATTTGGGGTTTCTTTGGCTGTCCTAAAATCAGAGAGCTGGTGGGAAGGGTGCTTGAAAACTGGTTCGGGGTGAAGAAGCTCAAAGCAGGTTTGGCTTTGGATTCTTAGTGTGAACCTCTTCCCCAGCCCCCCCTTGTACCTTCACTACACTCTGACTTCTCCTTGGCCTCACGGGAGGGGGGTGAGTGTGCCCTGGGCTCGGTGGCATTGCCAGCAGGTGTCCTTCCAGAGCAAGCACTGCCCTGAGCTCTGCTTCCCGTGGGACTCCCCTCGGGGTGTTCACCTTTCTCCTTGGCCAGCAGAGAAGAGCTTTTAAACCCACCTCCTCTTGGTCCTTCCCCAACACCCAGGGCTGAGCCTGGTACCAAACCTGCCCGTGGCTGCAGGAGCAGCTTAAACACACAAAGACAGTGCAGGGGGGGACAAACGTGGGAAGAGATGCTGCTGCTTTCCTTCAGAGCCTGGCGAGGCTTGGTAGGAGCTGATATCTCACTCTTTAAGACTTTGTTTCTAACCCCTCTGAGCCTGAGGTGTGCCATCAGCTGGGCAGGACACCCGAGTACTTTGCCCCTTGTTTCTGTGTGCCTGGGATCCCAGCAGGGTGCTGAGGCTGGTTCCTGGCAGCCCTGGCGTGGCTGCTCTTTGTGACTGGCAGTGGTGCCCTGGGGAGCAGCCTGGCAGAGGCTGCACGTCCTGCACTCGATGCCTTTTACACCCCTGGCACCAGCTCAGAGGTGGAGTGAGGATATTTTGGGGGGACAGACCTCAGGCACCCAGCACAGCTCCCTGCTCGGCCGTTAGCATCCGGAGTGACCTGGGGTCAATGAATGAATATTTCAGCAGGGCTGCTTCCCACCTTAGGCTCACGTTGAAAGGTCAAAGGCATTTTCTGTGTGCCGTGTGTTTTAATTGCAGCCTGCCCTACTTCAGATGTGGGGCAAGGTCTGGAAGAGGGCACCCACAGCACAGCCCCCAGGGATTCCTCTCTGATGTGAGGAACTCTTCTTTTTTTTTCTCTTGGTAACCTCAATTTCCTCACCAAGCCTTTCTCGTGTAAATAGATGACACTAGTGGAAATGAGAACACTGAGTCTGTGTGGGAGGGAGACAAATTTAGGTTTTAAGACATCCCATCCCTTCCTTTTTAGAAGGGAGTGGAAAAAGATGAAGTGGTCAGTCTAGAAACAAAGGGGGTTTACATTAGGACAGGCAAATGTCTGCAGCCCTGAAAGGAAGGGGGCAGAGCCACACGAGGAGCTGGCAGTCCCTGAGGAAGGGAAAGTGGATCAGGGGGACAGGGGTTCCAGAGGGAGGCTGGCACAGGACTGTTTCTGGTAGGAGAACAGCCCCCCAGACTGTAGGCTGACTTTCTGGGAGGGGAACAGCCCAGGGAGCTGTAGCAATGCTCAGGACTGCAGCTGGTCACCTACAGACTTTCTGGGGTCCTCTCCAATGTCTTTACCCCATTCTCAAAGCAGCTGCACGTGTCGTGATCAGGGGAGAGCTGAGAAAATGTTTGGAGAAGCCCTTGGAAATCCTGGGGACCTGCTGGAGCCTCAGGGGTCTGTGTAGCCCCACTTGCCATCGCCCACACCCGGGGTGAGCTGGCTCAGAGGAGCCCAGGGCCCCTTTGGCAAGGAGACAGGAGCAAGCTGGCTGCAGGGAGGAAATGCAGATGTCCCCCTCCCTCCTGTTCTCCCTGGGGACACTTCTGTGTTACCTCTGAGCCTCAGAACTAGAACAAAGTGCCTCTATTTTGCCTCGGGATGCCATTCGAGTGATGTCCCAGAAGCTGCCCAGGGTGAGGAATGGGCTGTTTCTGCATATTCCCTTTCCTGTCCCTTTCTTTAAGGTGTCTGCCTGTTCCCTCTGAAATCCCAGCTGTCTCCTTGGCTTCTACCTGCTCCCCACACCCATGGAAAGTTTTATTTTTGCATTTCCTCCTGGGATCTGCAAACAGAGCCCCAGGTCCTGTGGACAGCAGGGTGCCAGGACACCCCGTCCCCTCCTCCCCACCAACTCACCTCTCATCTAAACCCAGGAAGAAGGAAAAACCCAGGCTGCAAATCACCAAACAGCCAGTCTTGGGCCACATCTGCCTGAGAAGGGTGGGAGCTTTGAAGAAAAGAGAGGGGTTTTTGTTGACTTGAAAGCAGTGGGGTGAAACATCTGCAGACCCTCCTGTGGTGCAGCATTATTTGCCTTGGCTGAAGTCTGTCTCTGCTCGTGGTGGGCTGATCAGAACGGTGCCTGCAGGGAGATCTGTGGCTCTTTGACTCCCTGGATGAAGGGGGATCCTCTACCTTGGGCAGGGGAACTGCCTCAGCCAGAAAAGCCTTCAGGAGACAGGTTGTTTGTCCCACACTGCCCTGTCTTCTGCCTGCTCAGCCGTGCACGAGCGAGGGATGAGCAGCA